TAGATACCTTAATATTTTGTATTTAATAGGATCGGATTCTTGTCCATATCTTATTAAAGAGTGGACGAATGATCCGACTGAATGGCCTGAAGTTTCATTCCCTGATATCTTCTGCTACCTGGTTGAATCACCCGGTAAGAGGCAAAATCACGTTAACTCACATAATTCATATGTCTAACAAGGAAATTAGCACGTTTTAGTGAATTTGTTCATCACACAATGGTTGTTATTGCACAATAGCCATCATGAGCTGCATATACATATTGGTTATTGACGACTCGGTACGTTATCACGCAGGGATTTACACACACACGCCAAAAGAACTATCGGTCCCTGGAGGCACACAACTTTTTTACAAGTGGCTTTGTTGGAGTTGTGCTCCATCATAAACTACCTTCATCGGATACCTACCTGTTCCGATGTGATGTAAAGCCATCCTGGAGGGTGACAGAGAAGCCGCAAAGGCTGGCTTCCGCATCTGTCTATATATATAATGTAAATATTAGTGTTATGATGATTGCATTGCATTTGACAGGTCCAAATGCAGATGTTTGTTACCAAACGGATGTATGCAGACTTCATCACTTGGACTCCTGAGACCTGCCTGATATTACATTACATTACATTTAGCTGACGCTTTTATCCAAAGCGACTTACAATAAGTACATTCGACCAGGAAGACACAACCTTGAAGAAAACAGAATCATATAAGTACATCAGGTTTCATAGAGCCAAACATTTCAAGTGCTACTCAACTGGCTTTAGATAAGCCAGTCCTTTATTAGTATATAAGTGCTTTGTTAATAGTTCTAACGCTCGAAGTGGAGTCGAAAGAGATGAGTTTTCAGTACAAAGAGATGAGGACTTCATCAGTGGTGCCATTAATGTGATGCAAACATTTTGGTCACAACACATACTACACAAACTTCGGGAGCTGAAAGATGCACAGGTAGGTGGTTGAATTTCCTATCAGTGTAAAAATGGCAACAAATAAGTCACTGTGACAGAGTTACATATTTATTTATACCAATTCATTTTGAAGCACATTATAGCTATTTCATTCAGTATCAACATAGACTACTAGACTATATGTACAAAATCAAATATCACAAAGCCTATACATTTATTTACAACATGAAAACATACATAGGCTACAAATAGAAGGAATAATGGGCTGTACAATATTGTCTATACTTGTGACTTTGATACTAATCAGATAATAATTGTTGATATTGTTGATCAAATTGTTCTTGTGTTCTTTTCAAAGGGGGTGTACTCATTTATGATAAGCACTGTATATGTTTCTGCTAAGTAGGCAGAACACAGTCCAGTCGAAAGCAGCACAGGGAGTGACCCATCAGGCAACAGAGGCAGGGCGACAGGCATCAGAGGCAGGGCGACAGGCATCAGAGGCAGGGTGACAGGCATCAGAGGCAGGGTGACAGGCATCAGAGGCAGGGTGACAGGCATCAGAGGCAGGGCGACAGGCATCAGAGGCAGGGTGACAGGCATCAGAGGCAGGGTGACAGGCATCAGAGGCAGGGCGACAGGCATCAGAGGCAGGGTGACAGGCATCAGAGGCAGAGCGTCAGGCATCAGAGGCAGGGTGACAGGCATCAGAGGCAGAGCGTCAGAGCGACAGGCATCAGAGGCAGGGTGACAGGCATCAGAGGCAGGGTGACAGGCATCAGAGGCAGGGCGACAGGCATCAGAGGCAGAGCGTCAGAGCGACAGGCATCAGAGGCAGGGCGACAGGCATCAGAGGCAGGGCGACAGGCATCAGAGGCAGGGTGACAGGCATCAGAGGCAGGGTGACAGGCATCAGAGGCAGGGCGACAGGCATCAGAGGCAGGGTGACAGGCATCAGAGGCAGAGCGTCAGGCATCAGAGGCAGGGTGACAGGCATCAGAGGCAGAGCGACAGGCATCAGAGGCAGGGTGACAGGCATCAGAGGCAGGGTGACAGGCATCAGAGGCAGGGTGACAGGCATCAGAGGCAGGGCGACAGGCATCAGAGGCAGGGCGACAGGCATCAGAGGCAGGGCGACAGGCATCAGAGGCAGAGCGTCAGAGCGACAGGCATCAGAGGCAGGGCGACAGGCATCAGAGGCAGGGTGACAGGCATCAGAGGCAGGGCGACAGGCATCAGAGGCAGGGTGACAGGCATCAGAGGCAGGGTGACAGGCATCAGAGGCAGGGCGACAGGCATCAGAGGCAGAGTGACAGGCATCAGAGGCAGAGCGTCAGGGTGTGCAGCAGCAGAGCAGCACTGAGATCAGTTCAGGGACCTGTGGAAAGACAAACAACAGGTGGTTTTGATTAGAAAGATCCATTATGTCTCAACTGAAACCTGTTAAATGGCACAATTGGAACAATAATGACTTCTTTGTTGTATAAAAAAGTTGCATAAAATATTGTTCTCTGATGCTCATTATTAAATGACTGCACATTGATTTTGTTCTTACTCTCAGATTCTGTAACGGTTGTACATGACACTGCCAGACAGGTTCATTAGTGCTGCACAGACATGCACAATCCTATCCATCATGGCCTCTTCTCTCTCATCCTGCAGTCTCTTCACCAGGCGCAGAGGAAGTGGGCCATCCAGAATGTGGTACCAGCTCTTCAGAGCACCAATGACTCTCTGCAGACCACAGATCACATATTTGTTGTTAAAATGCTGTTTATCTACATTGTTATGTTCGAGTTTCACAGGAGTAGCACAGTTGACCGTTATATCATATCGTCAGTGCATTGTGTCCTATAATTAGTGTTTCTTTTTCATGTTAAAGTGAAGAAAGATCCCTGTTAACTTCCTGTTATCCTGTTCTCTTGATATTGCACTAAATGTGAACAACAGTTCAATGTATTTAAATATAGAATAACATGTTTTTAAGATAAAATGTTATCTTAAGACACCCTACAAAGTAGGGATTACACATGTACTCGTTGATGTGATTAATTGAATAACGTCTCAGCACTTGTTAACCCGGATCTGTTACAGTAATTCATTTAGTTAGGGAAAAGTGAACCACGTCAGCGGCAAGTAGCAACAGTGATTTGATGATGCAGCACTCTGAATACCAAAAACATTAAAATGTACATACTGTGTGAATCTGACTGCTGACTCTATACTTACCAATGTGAATTCTGATGTTCGAAGTCACACGAGAATTTGCAACATCTTCGGCTGACAGTTGTTTTCGGCCCCTCGTGAAAGACGGTGTGATGAGCTGTGCACCCAGAACAGCAAAGTCATCCTTCAAAGTGAAGCCCCTGTCGGCTAAAATCTGAAATAAACATAACAAATACTTAAAAACACTACTTTACTTCAACAGCAACTCAAAAATGGTAACTATGGGTAAATAATAAATTCACAAATAAGACTTAAATTAGAAAAAAAAAAAACAGTTCAATTGTTACCTGATCTCCTGCATGGTGGAACTTCTGAGATAAGAAGTCTGAGTTCCTTACAATATGCACATCTGAAGCCCTCCCTCCCCAGCCTTTGGAGAGATATGTGATTGAGCCAGATGGGTGACATGCAATGAAATACTTCACTGTTGTCCAGTTTTTGTATATTGAGTAGGTGATAGCTCTGTGAGAAGAGACAGTCGTTAGTAATACTTATCTATAAATTATGTACATATACACAGACAGCCAGGTAAGTATTACAAAAACCCAACACTTTATGCATGCTATCAAAAAGAAAAATATCTCACCTTGTTTTTAGCTTCTTTGAGTGTTCAATTCTGATCTCAAAGCAGTCGATAATTGCAGTCACTCTAGGGTACTGGAAGAGAACCTCTGCTGGTACTGTGCTTCTGATACACTCTTTCAGGCCATTTAATCAAAAAAGAAATGTTGGCGTACATCAAATCCAACCATCGGGAGAATACATCCAGGAAAGTGCTATATCTATGTGCCAGGTCAAATATTCCACACATCATATCGGTTGAGTGGTTCTGCCGCAGTTTCACCAGAGTAATGAAGAGCTGGTCTTGTGTTGACATCTTGGATGTTTTCTGTGACTTAACAAACTGTACCAGGTACTGATGAAGAGTGTCAAATACTGTCCATGACAGGCCTGTCATGACTTTACATTTAGTGTCATTTTCTCTCACAGTGTTTACCGATATTTTCAACGTCTCCAATTCTCTGATGGTTTCAGCTCGCTCCTTCATGGCCTCATCTCTTTCTCTTCTTAAATTATACAATTCTTCATAAAGTTGTTTTCTCTCTTAACTCCTGAAGAGGTATGGGAGCTTCTGATGTTGGGGATTCTGGTGCTGGGCCCTCTGATGTTGGGGATTCTGGTTGGGCAGACTGAACACCCTCACGCTTCCTCCTTCTCTCCAGCCTCTGAAGTACTGACCTGGGAGACTTTGTCTTTTTATGTGGGAACAGCGAGGGTGTGTAGTCTGGGTGGGCTATGTCCTCGTTTTTTAAGCCTAGGGCAAGACAGTTCACAAACGAAATGAGAAGGGGATAGAAGGGGGTGAAATACATTTTAACTGCAGAAAGCTCGGAAGCTACCACCAGTGTTGTTAGCATAGCTGTGTTTTTGTATACTCAAGCAAGGTAGCCTGCATAACGTAGTAGTTAGTTAACTTCTCTTAAAACTAGTAATTGAACATTCATGTTAACTACGAAACAATGTAACACTGTTATTGTGTGAATAACGTTGTCATACCTGTAATGAAGTGCTGACTACAGACGTACACATGTTTGGATTTTGGATCCCACAGGTGGCCTAACTCATCCTCCCGACGGATCGCTTGAAGCCACCGGGTTCTTCTCCTGGGCTCTGTGCTCCCGTTGGGCAAAATATAAAATTTTAGATTTGGATTTTTAAGCTTGTTAGTTGTACAAAAGGGCACACTGCAGCTTCTGGGCATTGTGGAAGCCGGTTTGTTTTCCCCCTCAGCGCAAACCGGATGTGACGTTTTGTGGGCGTTCCCTCGCTTGCCGACTGTATGTGCACAAATTTACCTCGTCCGCGTTCGTGTGAGGAGGGGCTCTGTAAGGAAGTGGCAGATTTTTTCCGGCTGTGTATTTTCAAATTCTAGCGCACTCGAGCTGGTTTCTCCAAAATGACCTACCCCACCTTTAAGTAGGCCTACAAGATTTCACTCTGGTAACAATGCAGAATCCATTCATAAAGTAGTCGTTTTTGAACGTCACTCAATGTGGCGGAGGCGGACACTCCACGCGAACGCGCACACATTAAAATTGAGGAGGGGGATGGTGATGGTGTAGGGCTCGGTTTGGAATTGTGCCAATGGGTTCTCTTCAAAACTGCACCACACCCACCGCTGAGTTTAGAGTCTTTCGTCTTGTCGGTTTTAGCTTGAAGAACAACTTGTACTCGTATGTTCTTGTTATCATGTCGAACACCGTGAAAAGCCTCACGGTGAACTATAACCCCGCCAGTAATGAGCAAAACACCTTTACCAGTGGCGACTGTGTTTCTGGTGAGGTAACGCTGGAAGTTACCAAAGAGTGCAAAATAAACTCCCTATTGATTCAGTTCAAGGGGAAAGCAGATGTGATGTGGAGCGAGCGTCACGGACAAACTACTGTCATCTACCACTCCAAGGACAAGTACTTCAGCATCAAACACTTCTTCGTCGAAGAAAAAAAAGATAATGGTAAGTGCTGAAATAAATACAAAACCTGTTGAACAATAACAATTGTAGCTTAAGCCTTACATGGATTGGCGCCATGGCAGAAGATTCCAAATAAAAGCTCACGGAATGTAGCCTACTAAACATTCCCACACTGTTTCAGATAGCGACAAAATGTTGCTTATAATATAGGGATTAGAACACTTTATATTCTGCAATACAAAAAGCATGATGTTTCTTATGCAGAACAGATCTAAATTAAACTCGGATAAATCAATAATTGTCTTATAACATTTACACAAGAAACATTTCAAATAATAATAGGCATCTTTGTGCAAAAGTCCCCTACAAACCTCTTCTGAACAACTACCGTGTACCTTTGGCTGGTTCTCTTGATGTTATCTAGGAATGGTTAAAGGGCAGGCAGATAACACAAGGGCTCAATAGTCCTCTGATCTATAAAACAATATTGCAAATGTGTATTATGCCTTTTTGATTACTAAAGTGTCACAAATTGATTTTACTTTAAATATTTTTGTTGAAAATTACATCTATTTTAATAGCTTCTATGTGATGTGACCCAGTTACTACAAATACATACGATATATTCTTATAACACTGGACAAATTAGACACCTTGGCTTTAAGGGTTTTATATCCATGCAGTATGTTTTATATTTTTTAAAAGCTTCCATGTCATGAGACCCAGTGACAGCAAATGTCAGGGATACATGCAAAATGTTCAATATTATTATCAAAATAGAATATAAATGATCAAAATGACTCGTTTTATCAAATAACTCGTTGTGGACAATAAAACCATATAATTATTTTTTAAATGTAGTATGATTTAATCACACTATAGTTAGTAGAGCAGTGTGTGGGACATGCCAAAATCACTTACATCCAATGAAAAAATAAGGTATAAAATGAAGGAAACACATTTCAAGAGACTTATCATAGTACTGATATGTGTGTAAATGTTTGGCCTTTTATAATAACACCTCAGAGTTTCATTATTCTGCTACATGTTCATGATGACTGAGTGATTGATTCTGATGGGGACACCAAAGTTACTTTATAATGATATTGACCCAAACAGTATTTTATATCTGAAAAACTAGTCTTTAAATCTTATAGGCCTACTTTGTTCAAAAGGTTGTTTTGAAACGCATTCCTTTGGCTGTCACGTTAAGCGGAGGGACTCTAGGGCAGGCAGAGAAAAAGTGAAGTTGTCAAGATAAATACTAGGTAATAAAACGTAACACTAGCCGTGTGATTGAGACTCGCTGGTGGATCCAACTTGAATGTCTGTTGAATATCCAACCTACAACTTCATATATGTTTTGTTGTTGCTTTAATTTGTCTGTTGTGATTGTAAACTGAGCTTCCTTTTGGTGTGAACTTGGAATTGGGATATCATTTTTTTTACTATTTTCTGACTTGATCTGACCAAATGTTTAATAGTAACAGTAACACATTTGAATTGCTGCTAATTAAGTGTGCTGATATTTCTTTAGGAGATGACAACGAAACACTATTGACAAACCAGTTGGGAAATCCATGTAAGTATGTATGTCTCTGCCTGTCCTGAGGATAAAGAGAAGTTGTAAAATGTTTCTCTTAAAAATGACTCTCTGCTATTCAGACAGCAATGTCGTTGCCCCAGGATCCCATGTTTACCCATTCAGCTTCCAGATCCCTCCCCAGTAAGTTAACATTCTTATGATGTCTCTGTAATAAATATAATTTGTTTTGCTATAGAGTCTGTGTAATTTGATTGCTTGCTTTCCTGCATGTGCAATGTATAAAATAAATATCCAGTAAGTTTATCATGTTCTTCTGGCCCTCTGCTTTAGGGATATGCCCTCTTCCTTCGACGGTAGCTTTGGTAAAATTGTGTACGCGCTAAAAGCCAAGCTGAGCAGATCAATGAGGGTTCCAACGAAAGATTCTACCAAAATCAACTTTGTCGCGAAGGCAGACCTGATCGGTGACCCTGGGCTGATGGTATGTGCACAGTGACATCCTGATTCCTGGCATACCAACTGGGAAAACACTCTGCTTGTGTTGGTGAATGGCTAAATCCCAGCCCTTGATGAATGTGCATTCCTGAATACCTGGATATTTTTAACTGAACATTAACCACACCCTCACTGTATAAAGTAAGACTTAACAATTCAGTAGTACAACTGTTGGATTGGCACATATTTTGTTATGCTGGTTGGCAGTGGATGTGGGCATTTGATACACCAGAATGAACGCTAATAGGTTAAGTGTTTTCTGTCAGTCGTTTAAGTGATTTGCTGTCTGATCTTCTTTCAGGAACCACAGCATGAGTCTAAGGATAAGAAAATGAAGTTTTTCAACTCAGGAACAGTAGCCATGGATGTGAATCTTGAAAAGACAGGTTTCTTCCAAGGTGAGAGTCCTAACACTTATATTAACTCTTGTTACACACATCAGGGTGTCCGCAGGGTCTTAAAAAGTATTACAAGTTGATAAATCAATTTAGCGAAAATTAAGGCTATTAAAAAGTATTAAATGGCATTTTCCAAGGTATTAAGAAGGTCCACAGCAACGACAACATGAAACACCCTTTAATTTACTGAAACAACATGTCGGGAAACCCCCTCAAGGTGGCCCCATGCATAGCGAGCCATAAAATGCTGCTTCTTATTTTAAGTTTTGTTGCCTTGCTCCGCTCTGTGGGGGGGGGGGGGGGTTCTATATTAAGAACGAGAAAAGTCTTAACATATCAGTGACGTGCGGTGAGGTTCATGGCTGGTGAGGCACTATTCTGTTATTTTCAAAAGCTTTTTTGGTCTGATGTTTCGATTCATTTTAAACAGACCGTTCAACAAAAGGATACCCACAATCTAAATATTGGATTGTTCTTTCTTAGTAAGATCCCATTTTCATTACCAATGTGGTCCTACCTTGACTTGAAGATGAAGTCCATGCTATCCTTCTGGACAACAATCTCTATTACTTTTTTGTAAAAGTCCTCCTTATTTTCCTCTAGTTTCAAAAGTCTAGTTTGTTGTCCGCGTCTATACCATCTCTGCGTAGAATAACAGTAGCAACAAGAACCTTTGGGCTCACGTGCGCCCCCTTCAGTGCGGCAGAGGTTATGGCTGCCTCCCCTGGTGCTTTTTTCATTGCCGTTGTACGGCGAGCCTAAATATCATATATACGTGAAATAAGTTATTTAGAGACTATGGATGGCGAGGATAAATGTAATAAGGTTCAAGGTTGTGTCTTCCTGGTCGAATGTACTTATTGTAAGTCGCTTTGGACAAAAGCGTCAGCTAAATGCAATGTAATGTAATGTAATGTAATAAAGGGATCTACAAACATTACATTGGTGACATACAGTGAGATGGTAACAGGCATGCGCTTAGTGCCCGCTTTCCAGCCAGTTTCTGTGAGGTGACGCATTCTGAGTTGAGGCAGAGCTCATCTGTGCCTCACCTCACCACACAGTAACTGGCTTGAGCGCGCTCACAAAATAAGTGCCCGCGCTAAATTAGTGCCCGCGCTCCAGCCAGTTACTGTGGGTTTACGTGAGGCAGAGCTCGTCTCTGCCTCACTCCTCATCGGTCCCATGTAGTTGTAGCGGAGCTCGGCAAATTTGCTGATTTTGACTATAAAAAGCGATTGGAATCATACATAAATCACACTTACAACACAGATCAGTGGAGACATTTTATTATTATTACTATTTAGTTTTTCTTTAGTTGTTTTTCCGTTACATTGTAGTATGGCCAGTCTGAGTATGACAGGTGAGGCTCTGCCTCCCCTGACGGCACGTCGCTGAAACATATATATCGTTTTTTGTAAACATATGACAAATGTGTGAGGGTGATGACATCAGAGCATCGTCCTATGTGCCGGGCTTAGCCCCGGACAGCCCCAGCCCAATTTAGCCCCTGGGTATTTGTGAGGGAGCTCCTATATGGCATTACCCCGCTGAAGCTCACCAAAGTTTAATATATTTCATAGTTCAAAGTTTTGTCAATTGTTTTGTTTATTGGTCAAATACTGGTTTCTAATGGTTTCTGAGGAGTTTTACTGGAATGAAAGAGCACAGAGTACAGAAGCAACAAAGCAGCATACTGCATTAAACCTGACCTTCACAGAGAGGTTGAAGTTCATGTGGAGAGGAGGCTTCAGTAGTCTGTCTGCACTCTGTTTAGTTGTGCTATCTTACAATCAATATAGTAAATGTGAGGTAAAGTGTGTTGCCAATGTAACCGGTTAGAACTCGAAGTGGCGATGAGGTCTTAAAATGTATGGAAAGGGTCTTAAAAAAGGTCTTAAAAGGTATTACATTTGACTTTAGGATTCCTGCATATACCCTGCACATGCTAAGTGTTGTTTTGACACTTCTGATCTGTTTCTAGGAGAAGGACTAAAGGTTATGGCCTGCATTCAGAACAACTCATCTCGCGAGATCACGCCCAAGTACTGTGTGTACAGAAAGCATAGCTTCTTTGCAAAAGGAAACAGAAGAGTTTCAACTAACGACTTGTATAAAGAGGTGGGAGAGCCCATCCCTCCGTCTTCTAACCAAAATGTCACAAGAGTCCTCTCCATCCCACTCGATGTGGAGCCGTCCATCCTCAACTGCAGCATCCTCAAAGCAGAGCACAGACTCAGGGTAAGCATCCATATGTCAACAAAGATGTGTCTGCTTGCTCTTGTGACTTATGTGTACAAAAATGTCTCCTGGGAGAAAAAGTGCATTGTCAATTGTAGAATTTAATGATTGAATCAACATTTACATTTTTCATACTCGGCAAGAAGAATTTGAACACCTTTGATAATCTTACTCATCAATCATTCAATCTCTGAATTATGTAACTGAAAAATAAAAAAAGGAAAGTGAATGGATACTGGGCAATTTCAACCTATCTGGATTATTGTCTCCTATGGCTGCACTTTGCAGAACCTGAATGCTTTTGATTAAACTCCTCTATCATGGTTATTGGTGTTTGCCAGAAAGAGTTAAAAGAGTAAGAGTTATGCACCCAGGATGTACAAAGGAATTTGGTACAATAATTCTGATGATTAAAGACACTTTAACAATTTCTCAACAGGTCTACCTTGATGTCAAATATGCTTCAGACCCAGTGATCAAATTCCCCATAGTCTTCCTGCCGGCCCCTAAGGTTCCTGGTGTGGAGGCGCCCCCACTCGCTGCTTCTGGTTTTGGATTTGAACCATTTGGAAACACCTACCCACCAGCCTGGGGAATGGTCCCTCCACAACCACCATCAGCACCCCAACTCTCAGATCCCCAACCCTCAGACCCCCCTCCTGCCTATGGAACATGGGACACACCCTCCTTTGATAAATCTTGGAAATGAATATAATTGGTTGGACTGTGAAGATACAGTGGGGCAAACAAGTATTTAGTCAGCCACCAATTGTGCAAGTTCTCCCACTTAAAAAGATGAGGCCTGTAATTTTCATCCTAGGTATACCTCAACTATGAGAGACAAAATGAGAAGAAAAAAAATCCAGAAAATCACATTGTCTGATTTTTAAAGAATTTATTTGCAAATTATGGTGGAAAATAAGTATTTGGTCAATAACAAAAGTTCATCTCAATACTTTGTTATATACCTTTTGTTGGCAATGACAGAGGTCAAACGTTTTCTGTAAGTCTTCACAAGGTTTTCACACACTGTTGCTGGTATTTTGGCCCATTCCTCCATGCAGATCTCCTCTAGAGCAGTGATGTTTTGGGGCTGTCGCTGGGCAACACAGACTTTCAACTCCCTCCAAAGATTTTCTATGGGGTTGAGATTTGGAGACTGGCTAGGCCACTCCAGGACCTTGAAATGCTTCTTACGAAGCCACTCCTTCGTTGCCCGGGTGGTGTGTTTGGGATCATTGTCATGCTGAAATACCCAGCCACGTTTCATCTTCAATGCCCTTGCTGATGGAAGGAGGTTGTCACTCAAAATCTCACGATACATGGCCCCATTCATTCTTTCCTTTACACGGATCAGTCGTCCTGGTCCCTTTGCAGAAAAACAGCCCCACAGCATGATGTTTCCACCCCCATGTTTCACAGTAGGTATGGTGTTCTTTGGATGCAACTCAGCATTCTTTCTCCTCCAAACACGTCTATTTGAGTTTTTACCAAAAAGTTCTATTTTGGTTTCATCTGACCATATGACATTCTCCCAATCCTCTTCTGGATCATCTAAATGCTCTCTAGCAAACTTCAGACGGGCCTGGACATGTACTGGCTTAAGCAGGGGGACACGTCTGGCACTGCAGGATTTGGGTCCCTGGCGGCGTAGTGTGTTACTGATGGTAGCCTTTGTTACTTTGGTCCCAGCTCTCTGCAGGTCATTGACTAGGTCCCCCCGTGTGGTTCTGGGATTTTTGCTCACCGTTCTTGTGATCATTTTGACCCCACGGGGTGAGATCTTGCGTGGAGCCCCAGATCGAGGGAGATTATCAGTGGTCTTGTATGTCTTCCATTTTCTAATAATTGCTCCCGCAGTTGATTTCTTCACACCAAGCTGCTATATTGCAGATTCAGTCTTCCCAGCCTGGTGCAGGTCTACAATTTTGTTTCTGGTGTCCTTTGACAGCTCTTTGGTCTTGGCCATAGTGGAGTTTGGAGTGTGACTGTTTGAGGTTGTGGACAGGTGTTTTTTATACTGATAACGAGTTAAAACAGGTGCCATTAATACAGTTAACGAGTGGAGGACAGAGGAGGCTCTTAAAGAAGAAGTTACAGGTCTGTGAGAGCCAGATATCTTGTTTGTTTGTAGGTGACCAAATACTTATTTTACCGAGGAATTTAACAATGAATTCATTAAAAATCCTACAATGTGATTTCCTGGATTCTTTCCCCCCATTCTGTCTCTCATACTTGAAGTGTACCTAGGATGAAAATTACAGGCCTCATCTTTTTAAGTGGGAGAACTTGCACAATTGGTGGCTGACTAAATACTTTTTTGCCCCACTGTATGTGGACATTTCAGAGGTCAAAACGAAATTAGAGTTAATGCTTTCATTATATTGTAAAGCTAAAAAGTATATCCCTTTATTAGTATTGCATTTTGTTTACGACATACATTTACATTTAAGCTGTACAATATTTACTATTTTTACATCATTAAAAAGGACAATACTTTGTGTAGAAGTAGGCTCTTGGATATGTATCTGGTTAGCCACAAACATAAACAGAACTGGTTCAAACTAGACAAAAACAGTTAACCATTTGTGATCAATTGTAAAACAATCACTGTTTAAAAACTCATGTTACTGCTTGTCTTCAAAGCGTCAGGGGGAGATTTACAAACATAAGATGTCTCTATCAGAAAACACCATGAAATGCTTTTTGAATATTAATTTTCCTAAATGTGGAGAGCACAAAACTTTGGATTCATGATGGAAAAAAGGCGCCAGAGAAATATGTTGTGTTATATTGCATTAACTGACATTTGTTTCTAACAGTGAATAGGTCCATGCAAACTGACACGGATAAAGCAAATCAGAAAATAAAACACTGTGATCAAGTCATATTAGTCTACAATCAACCAGGTTAAGTGTTGCCTTGATTACTTAGATATAATATAAATACAGTATTAATAAAATAGAAAATATATATCTTCGAGCAATATTTCAGATTCAGTACTTAATGTCCTAATAGCTAATGTTTATAATGTAAAGGAGGTGACTTTGAGATAGTTTTTTTTATATCATATGGTAAAAACGAAATTCCTTATTGTACCTGAAAACGTTGTTATTTGTATGACTGTAAGGTTGGCCCTGATTCCCATCTTACCTTATGGAAATAACATTTTGCACTTTTAGGAGCCTACTTTAGTAGTCCAACAAAATTGGATTAAAATCCAAATATACCAGTAAGTACCAAAAGTACTTATTATGCAAATTGGTCCATTCTAGAATAATATTTATAATACGTTTTCATTATAATTATTGATTAATGTGTTATCAAAGCTGTTGAAGGTGACCTTTTTACCTGTGCTGGACTATGGTGATTTGATATATTACCTGATCAAGTTAGATGCCGCTTATCACAGTGCGCTGAGATTTGTTACAAACTGTAAAGCACTTACTCATCACTGTACCCTGTATGCCAGGGCAAGTCTGCCATCACTTACTGTTCGGAGACTCAGTCATTGGTACATGTTCATTTATAAAGCCATGCTGGGTAAACTACCACCTTACATCTGCTCACTGATATCACAGAGAGTCGCAAGTAGCTATTGCCTAAAATCTCAGGATGTGTTTTTATTACATGTACCAAGTGCTAGCACTGTTTTAGACACAAACACTTTCATGTGTGCAGCTCCTCTAGCTTGGAACACTGCAAAAACATATTGAAAATGAGCATTTTGGTCCCCCTGCATCATTTTAAAGCACAGGTTGATGAATTGATATTTGATACTCCTGGTACCTGTCTTTGTGAATACGTTTGTAAATTGCACCACTGTCATTATGTTGTATGTGTCCTTTTTGTTTTCTGCACATGTGTAACCAATGTGCGGCAGGTCTCTCCCTTGTAAAAGAGATCGTTGATCTCAATGGGATTTTTACCTTGATAAATAAAGGCTACAAACAAGCAATAATTACTGCAGGGTAGCTTGTGTATTTACTCCAGGTGTAACTCAATTCTTATTTAAGTGTTGATTATATTTAACATCATTAGTCCAAATCTTTAAAGTAACTAAAGGTACATAATAAATGTAGTGGACTAAAAGTACACAATTTACCTCTGAATTGTAGTGGAGTAGAAGTACAAAGTAGCATAAAATTAGAATACTAAAATAAAAGTATCTCCAAATTGTACTTAGATACAGTACTTGAAATTAATGTAGGCTACTTAGTTACTTCCCAACTCTGATTAGATACATGTGTGGACTGGAGGAATAATGATATTAAACGAGGGGAGGGGAAAATTGCCTACAAGGTTCCGCCCTATCTTTTACTATAAAAGGTTCCTCGTGGCGACACACCCATCGCGGAAGTGAGAGGTGGGCTTTATATTTCCTCGCTTTGAGCTTGGGACAACAACAAGTTATCGTATTTTATTAAGAAGCTACGCATCATGTTAACAGTGAAGAGCCTCACCGTCAACTACAACCCCGCAAATAATGAACAAAACACCTTTACTAGTGGCGACTGTGTTTCAGGTGAGGTCACGCTAGAAGTGACCAAAGAGTGCACAATAGATTCCCTATTGATTGATTGATTGAAAAGTTTATTAACAGCTTGTATATTGGGTACAGTACAGTACAGCTCAAAACATACAATTGTTAAGGGGATGCAGACCAGAGAAAGACTTTCGTCTTGTTTACATCAGGGTCCCCCATTTCCAATTCATCATGTCATTTAAGACATATAAGACATATTTGACATACAGATGGCTTATTTACAATTTACATACAGGTGGTTTTTTACATACAGATTGCTTATTTACAATTTTCATTTTAGATTTCGTTCTAATACATCCTAACCGGACATTTAAGACATACCAAGTGTCTATCAATTCAGTTCAAGGGGAAAGCAGATGTGATGTGGAGCGAGCGTCACGGACAAACTACTGTCGTCTACCACTCCAAGGACAAGTACTTCAGCATCAAACACTTCTTCGTCGGAGAAAAAAAAGATAACGGCAAATGCTTAAATAAATACAAAACCTGTTGAACAATAACAATTGTAGTTTACATGGATTGGCGCCATGGCAGAAGATTCAAAAATAAAAGCTCACGGAATGTAGCCTACTAAACATTCCCACACTGTTTCAGATAGCGACAAAATGTTGCTTATAATATAGGGATTAGAACACTTTATATTCTGCAATACAAAAAGCATGATGTTTCTTATGCAGAACAGATCTCAATTCAACTCGGATAAATCAATAATTCTCTTATAACATTTACACAAGAAACATTTAATACATTTCAAATAATAATAGGCATCTTTGTGCAAAAGGCCCCTACAAACCTCTCCTGAACAAGTACCGTGTACCTTTGGCTGGTTCTCTTGATGTTATCTAGGAATGGTTAAAGGGCAGGCAGATAACACAAGGGCTCAATAGTCCTCTGATCTATAAAACAATATTGCAAATGTGTATTATGCCTTTTTGATTACTGAAGTGTCACGAATTGATTTTACTTTAAATATTTTTGTTGAAAATTACATCTGTTTTAATATCTTCTATGTGATGTGACCCAGTTACTACAAATGCATACGATATATTCTTATAACACTGGACAAATTAGACACCTTGGATTTAAGGGTTTTATATCCATGCAGTATGTTTTATATTTTTTAAAAGCTTCCATCTCATGAGACCCAGTGACTCCAAATCAATGCAACATTATTACTGCATTGCTATATTACTTGATGTTTGTGCCCTTTATGTTTTATATGAATATTGTTATTACGTTTTGCAGATTTGTATTTGAAAGTCTCATTTCTTTTCTTAAATAGATCTATATCATGTGACCCAGTGGGTCCAAATCCACACACAATATTATTACTACACACTACACAGGCATAAGAAATCACACCTCTTGTTATTGGATATTAGTCTATTTTGTATACATATTTGTGGGAAACTCAGCAATATTCAATTTGAAAAGTTCAATTTCTTTAAATACCCTCATACTGTATGACCGAGTGACTCCAAATCAATGCAGCACTGTTAGGCTACACTGCACGAGGAGGACACACCAATTTGGGGGGATTTTAATCCACCTTCTGTATTATATACTTTTTTATCAAAAATCAATACATGACAAGGAAGTTATTGATAACCAATGAGACTCTCCAATAAACACATTTTTATTTTCACAACAGTATTGATATAATATAGAAGAAAACACCATATCCAATGGAAAGTTATGTGTTCTTCTTGTCCAGTGGAGTACAGTAATACACATCTGCATTGATTGGTCATGAGGTCACCTGCTATGGAAATTATTTAAAAGAAACGAGCCTTTTTAATAAAAGAGAACTGCTGAATGGTCACAGCAACATTCATATAATAAAAGAAGCCCACAAATCTATAATAAACAAAAAATAATTATAGTCCAATAATGTTTCAAGAAAAGGACGGGAATGTCAATACAGATAGATATGAACGAGTTTAAATCTGTCTCCTGTTATCATTCTCAATATGATCATATTAACAAAATAAAATACATAAATGATTTTAACTGAGATTATTAGTTATTCAATCAACAGGAAATTAATCAACAACTTTTTTTTGTTAATGTACTACTTTTAAACTAATTTATGTGCCAATAAAATCTGCATTCCAGCCTCTCAATTGTAAGGATTCAATGCTCTAATTTGTCCAACTGAACTTTTGGGGGTTTTGGGTGTGACCCTGAGATTAGGATATACATGTTCCACTATTTTCTGAGTTTTTTATTAGACTACATGTTTAATAGCTCAAGTTACACGTTTTAATTGCTGTTAATGTGCTGATTTTTCCACAGGAGGGGACAATGAAACACTTCTGACAAACAACATTGGGAAAACATGTAAGTATTTCTGTCTCTACGCCATTGATGAGGACAGAGCCATTTCATCAAAAGGCAGTTATTTGTTGTTCAGTTGTGAAAGAGTCATGTTCCTCTTAAAAACTTATTTTTGCTTTTTTCAGACGTCAATGTTGTTGCTCCAGGATGCCATATTTACCCATTCACCTTTCAGATCCCTTTCCAGTAAGTAATCTATCCTATAATGTTTCTGTAATGAGTTGCAAATACCCTTACCCTCTCCAGTGGATGAATACATGTATGATCCTCGCAAACACCTTCTAAAAAACATCTTTATTGATCAACCTCAGCTTTCAGTAGTTCATTTTAATAGATCCAGGAAATGTTATAATGTTTTTCTGGCTTTTTGCTTTTGTGCTTTAGGGATATGCCTTCCTCCTTCAAAGGCTCCTGTGGTAAAATCTTGTACTCGCTGAATGCCAAGCTGAGCAGATCAGTGAGGGCTCCAACTACAGATTCAATCAACATCAACTATGTTACGAATGCAGACCTGAACCGTGACCCTGGGCTGATGGTATGTGCTGAGTAACACCCACGTACCTGTAATTTCAACAGGGACAAACAATTTGACCGAGTATGCATTTACCAAACCATCACAATATAATGTACCACTTAACAAATCAGTAGTTCACCTGTTGAATTGGCACAGCTTCTGTCGGCAGTGGATGTGGGCATTTGATACACCAGAATGAAAGCTAATAGGTTAAGTGTTTTCTGTCAGTTGTTTAAGTGATTTGCTGTCTGATCTTCTTTCAGGAACCACAGCATGAGTCTAAGGATAAGAAAATGAAGTTTTTCAACTCAGGAACAGTAGCCATGGATGTGAATCTTGAAAAGACAGGTTTCTTCCAAGGTGAGAGTCCTAAAACTTATATTAACTCTTGTTACACACATGCTAAGTGTTGTTTTGACACTTCTGATCTGTTTCTAGGAGAAGGACTAAAGGTTATGGCCTGCATTCAAAACAACTCATCTCGCGAGATCAAGCCCAAGTACTGTGTATACAGAGAGCATAGCTTCTTTGCACAAGGAAACAGAAGAGTTTCAACTAAAGACTTGTATAAAGAGGTGGGAGAGCCCATCGCTCCGTCTTCTAACCAAAATGTCACAAGAGTCCTCTCCATCCCACTCGATGTGGAGCCGTCCATCCTCAACTGCAGCATCCTCAAAGCAGAGCACAGACTCAGGGTAAGCATCCATATGTCAACAAAGATGTGTCTGCTTGCTCTTGTGACTTATGTGTACAAAAATGTCTCCTGGGAGAAAAAGTGCATTGTCAATTGTAGAATTTAATGATTGAATCAACATTTACATTTTTCATACCCTGCAAGAAGAATTTGAACACCTTTGATAATCTTACTCATCAATCATTCAATCTCTGAATTATGTAACTGAAAAATAAAAAAAGGAAAGTGAATGGATACTGGGCAATTTCAACCTATCTGGATTATTGTCTCCTATGGCTGCACTTTGCAGAACCTGAATGCTTTTGATTAAACTCCTCTATCATGGTTAATGGTGTTTGCCCGAAAGAGTTAAAAGAGTAAGAGTTATGCACCCAGGATGTACAAAGGAATTTGGTACAATAATTCTGATGATTAAAGACACTTCAACAATTTCTCAACAGGTCTACCTTGATGTCAAATATGCTTCAGACCCAGTGATCAAATTCCCCATAGTCATCCTGCCGGCCCCTAAGGTTCCTGGTGTGGAGGCGCCCCCACTCGCTGCTTCTGGTTTTGGATTTGAACCATTTGGAAACACCTACCCACCAGCCTGGGGAATGGTCCCTCCACAACCACCATCAGCACCCCAACTCTCAGATCCCCAACCCTCAGACCCCCCTCCTGCCTATGGAACAAGTGGAACCTACCCTTCTTTGATGGATTCAGGCAATAAATACTAGGGATTGGACCGTGAAGAAGCGTGGACATTTAAAGGAAAATGAAATGAGAAATGAAAACAAAAAAATGACAGGTCCTGCTGTAATTACATTCTCTATGTAAATAGTATATCAAATATTTTGAGTTTTGCATTTTGTTAGGATGTACATCAAATTTGAAGTGCTATGATATTTATTGATCTTACATAATTCAAAAATAAATAATATATACCTTCATCTTGTGCTACAGGTTATTCGTCTTTTCAAATATTTGCATTGCATTCAAGTCAGTATGACAGAAACTGCCACTATCCTCTGTAATCCAGGCACCCATCAAGGACACGCCTGTTTTCTATCCTGGCTCCCCATTGGACAGCATCACATAAAAGTGAAATAAAAAACACAGAACTATTTTAAGAAAATGGAATTTGTTTGACATGACTGGACAATATGTCATGACACATTGAGAAAGTGTATCATGTGAGCATCATAAATGCAGATGGTAATTAAGAGAGTATGCTCCCAGCGCTGCATGCTCCCTGTCACTGGGTGCGCATGTGTGTCTTTCAGCTGAGTTAAACAGGTTGAACAGGATTTGCATGCTTTAGATAACCTACAAGTAGTGCAAAGCAACTGGCCAGGGTAAACAAGCCTTGGATTTCCTCGTGGTTTTACAGGAGATTTGGATTTTCTACTGTTTGTTCTTTGTAAAAAATGACCATCAACAACTTTGCAATAGAATATGATGCCATCAACAGCAGAAACACCTTTACAAATGGAGATACCATCAATGGGAGAATCATCATGGAGGTTTCTAAGGAAACCACAGTCCAGTCTCTAATTTTTATAGCAAAAGGAAAAGCTCGGGTCCGCTGGGGTGATCAACATCATACGTACTGGGCTGATGAGAAATATTATGATATCAAACATCATATCTTGAGAGAGTCGAGACAAGATGGTAACGTGTTAAATTAATACATTCATTGATATGTTGTACATTGTAGCTAATGCAAAGACTTTGAGATAAATAACAATTTTTAATGAAGTTCAAGGACTCATAATAAGTAATTCTCTTCCAGGCACTGAAGTTATCGGTAAAGGGAGACATGTATTCCCTTTTTCCTTCAAGATTCCTGACAAGTGAGTCATCTTTACTTCAATTAATTGTTTTAAATGTATGTTTTATATCGTCATCTTCTTTAAAGGTCATTACATTTTCTTTTATTGTACTTGACAGCAAAATTCCATCGTCTTTCAAATCTGGCATTGGCAACATTCATCATAAACTGAAGGCAGAGCTCAAACAATCAATGAAGCTGACCAAAAAGGCCAAAACCCACTTCACATTTGTGTCAAAAGCAGACATGGATATTCCTGGACTTCTGGTAAGAAATCATTAGTCTATAAACCTGCACATTTAATGACAATGTCTGAGCCAAATTGATCTAACTGAGGGTTTGATTTTTTAGGAACCTCAGTATGGTAGCAAGGACAAATCTGTCAAGGTATTTGGCTCTGGAATTATTTCAATGGATGTTCAGACCAAGCGAATGGGATACAAACAAGGTAACAATCTAGTCTGGTAGAAATTCACTGCCTTTCCTTAACTACACATCATGTTTTGAATAGTAGGTATTTGTTAACTGACTATTGATACAAACTGTTGTTTCGTTCAACTTTGAAATGAATTTATGCTGCAACCGTTTCATAATGGCATAAAGGAAGTGCACTGTGTACACACGTTGTCAAGTGTGTAAGGGACACAACAGGTCTTACAAGCTTTTGCCTCTGTGCAAGTAAAGGTTAAACCAGCATTCAACATTATAGCCTTTCCAGCCAAGTGAAGTTGATGTTAATGAAGCTGGACCTTTAGGGACTCTCTATCGGATTATGGGAAGGGATTGTGGCTCTTTTGACTTTCACAAGTCTTATTTTCAGTTTGGGGAATGTCTTGGAAAATGTACCCCTTTGCACAAGAATCACTATTAAAAGCTGCATATTTATTTTCATTTTTTTCTAAATGACCTCAAAGCTAGTTTGGCTTTTCTTCAAGTTTTTGTTACTGGTTCATATGTCCACAAAAACGTAATATTTGCAATACATATTTCCTGGGCAATTTATCACATTAGCAGTAATGTTTGTGCCATTTTGATATTTATTTGCTTTTGTAATATGCAGGTTACCTTGGAATGGGTCTATGTGTGATCATATAGCAATGGTTTCACAATGAAAGCTCCTTATTGATTGAGTTCAAACATTTTTTATTTTTCCTGTTCTTTAAGAGACTTAGCAGCAGCTAGAAATCTTGTTTTTATTCCAGTTGTTCTTTACTTTGTTAATGTGATGCAGAAAGATATTCCACGGCATGTACATTATAGCATCGCTGCAAAGCCTGGTGTAAGTTACTCTTACATTATTAAACCTTTCTCTGACTACTAATTGGTTTTATAATTAAAATAGCTTTCATTTCTCGTTTTTACAGGTAGAGATCTCAAAGTCTCAGTTGAAATCGTCAACAACTCAAGTCGTTCAGTGAAGGCTAAAGTCATCCTGTATGAGAAGAAGAGCTTCTTCGCCCAGGGTCGCAGGAGAGTTTCCACAAAGGAGATCCTTAAGGAGAAGATGGAGGCTGTCGCATCCTCTAACAAAGAGACTGTGGTCAAGGTGATGGACATCCCCAGAGAGTTACCTAGCTCCATCTTAAACTGCAGCATCATCAAACTGGAGTACAGGCTGAAGGTAAACTAAATGTACTTTGTGAGTTGTAATCTCCTCTTTCTGAGCACTTCTATTGTTCATATGGTGCTTTGTAACAATAGCTACTCAGCATGAAGGGCTTTTCCATGTGTCTGCTTACATTGTTGTTGTTTTTTTAACTTTTGGTAAGCGCATGAGTTTTCATTTCTCCGCCCTCTGTGACATACAAATTAAATAGTTCCAGTGATTTACAACAGGAAAAAACTTAAAATGTCTGCTTTCCCATGATATACTGTGTAATATACAAATGGACAAAGTGGACCCTTTTCTTCACTGGCTGTAAACTAGTAGATACTGAAATAAATATGGCAGGCAGAACACACATCAATATATCAGAGAAAGGAAACACTGAACGCTTATACGTTTAACAAACTCCAGAGAGTGATACATTACACTAACACAGAGGTGATGTAGTTACAAAACAAATGAATACATTACATTACACGTTACTTGTTAGACGCTTTTATCCAAAGCGATTTACATACTCAATACTGTGGGCAATCCCCACAGGAGAAATTTGGGGTGAAGTGGCTTGCCCAGGGACACAACAACATGCTGACTGCAGTGGGGTTGGATGGAACTTGTGACCCCCTGATCCGAACACCAACGCACTAACCCACTGCGCCACACGCCTCCTATTTTGTATGAATGTAATACTGTAAGAAATAATAGAAAGCCCACTGACTGAAGTCAAGGTGAACTTTATTGTCAATCTTTCAGTTTGTGTGTACAGACAGAGAGATCGAAATACCGTTTCCCACAATCCCGAATACAAAAACACAAATAATAATAAACTAGATTGATACAAAAACGCTCCGGTTATGAAAATGTCTTCACTCACTCACTCACCATTGTTCATGGTGTTTGCCAAGATAATTGGTTATGGGCACATGATGTAAAGAAACAGTAGAAACAAAATATGATTACTATATAATATCAACATTTGTTTTCACAGGTCCATCTAGATGTCCAATATGCTTCAGACCCAGAGATCACACTCCCTATAGTGATCCTACCTGCCTCTGAGGATACTCCTCAACAACAACAACAACAACAACAACAACAACAACAACAACAACAACAACAACAACCTTCTGATGCTGGCTTTGGGTTTGATGGATTTGGGAATCCAGAGCAAGCCCCCTGGAGCCCGGCACCACACCAACCAGCAGCAGCCGCCAGCGCTATGGATCCTCCACCTCCCTATGCAGCATATGCAATGTACCCCGCTAACCAATACTGGACTGGAAAGTAAATAGCTACTCAGCATGAAGTGCTTACATTGTTGTTGTTTTTTTAACTTCTGGTAAGCGCATGAGTTTTCATTTTCTCCGCCTTCTGTGACATACAAATTAAATAGTTCCAGTGATTTACAACAGGAAAAAACTTAAAATGTCTGCTTTCCCATGATATACTGTGTAATATACAAATGGACAAAGTGGACCCTTTTCTTCACTGGCTGTAAACTAGTAGATACCCCCCCAGAACTACACATGCTGGCTATTGTGTTTCGCAACATGGTCTATGGCACGTCTCTACTGGGAATTGTAGTTTTAAAAGACGTTTTCGTATTTCCCACAATTAGAAGTTGCCAGTATTAAACTGTGTACAGCCCTGGAGGTTTAGGGGATACGAAAACACAGTGGTGTTATCAAATTTCAAACATATGACTCATAAATGGGTGAAAATCGCTTGTGTCCATAATGGGCACCATTAATATACCCACATGACAGCTAAGGTCAGAAGAGCTTTATTTAACAGCTGGTCTTATGTCTGTGACCCCTCCTGTTGTTTATTGATAAGCCTGAAACATGCACTTGTCAAGGTTCAGAGGCAAATTTTGCAAATATGGCACTAGCCATCGATCATCTTAAGATAAGATAAGATATACCTTATTGATCCCAAGTTGGGAAATGTTTTTGTTACAGCAGCATGTAAAACATGCAATTTATTGTTACTTTGTAATTCTACCCCACTACAATTGAGAGGTTAACCTGGTACTTTTACGCCACTACATTTATTTGAGTTACTTTGCAGATTCTGATTAATGATGTGAAATATAAACAACCCTTAAATCAGACTTTAGTTACACCTGAGTAAAATTCAGGGAAGGTGATTGTCAAGTGCCAAAATAAACTATGCCATGTATTAGACGTTAAGTACTTTGTCAGACTTAATATTTATCTGTTGATAGCCCCAACGTTTTTTTCTTATTCAAAAGAAGACCTTAAAGGTGCGGTAGGTAATTTTGGAGAAACCAGCTCGAGTGCATTAGAATTTGAAAATACACAGCCGGAAAAAATCTGCCACTTCCTCACAGAGCCCCTCCTCCAACACACACGAACGTGCACATGACCAATGAGGGCACGAGATAAGTTTGTGCCCCGAGACAGGCAGGTAGGCCATCCAGTTATTTTAGCCGGGCCGGCTAAAAATGATTGGTCGTGCTTTTTACAGTACTACGGCTTCCACAGATGACATTTTTTTATGGATTTTTTGTCAAAGCACTTTTCATTGCTATCGGGATGTTAAGAGCATTCCATGGAATATAACACAAAGTGTATCTCAAGCCGGTTTCTCAAACTTACACCTTTAACTTAAAGTATTCTTTAATGTATACATAAAGCCTTATTAGTTTGTCTGTTTTGCACATCCTCCTATTAATATCTTTGGACGTCCTGCACTAAACTGTTTTAATGTAGAGATAACTTACAATATCTTCTTGATATTTTCTATTCTATATTTCTATCATTGACCTCCTACTTTCCCCCTATTTTGTATGTAGGCTACTCTTAATATTTAAAATGTTTCATCAAATATAACTTATTCAACAACAAAAATTCAATAACGTGCTTTAACCACTAGGTGGTTCGGGTTAAAAAAACTGTGAAGTTTACAGTGTTAACACAATAAATGATACTTTCCAGTATAATTTCCAGTTTAGTTTATGACAGATTTATTTTGTTATCCACACATATATTGTTTTGATATTTGTAACACCAAACATGACCCAGTGGTCTAGTAAATAAAACATAATAATATCAAACATAATATTACTATTAACTTTATTGTGAAATTAAAACAGAACGGTAAAGAAAAATACAGTTTCAGTCTCTCGATTTGAAGCTTAAGCATTGTACCATGAACCTGTATAGACCTGTAACAGTCAACTGCATGAGGAGTTGGAAAGGTAGTTTCTGAAGATGTTACAAATAACACACAGCATACAATGCCATAATAGCTTTTTATTATTAGTGTAGGACACTTATGTATGTATAACATCTGAAGATGTGTAGTTTTATTCATGTTTTCACATAATTGTACAGGATATTGCTATAATATTTCACATATTGTAGTTCTACACATTAATATCTGATTTGTAAAACATCATAGACAGAAAGGTATATCCGTCATTTAATCGTAAGCTAAATTCTGAATCCATAGATGTGTCTCCCATCACCCAAAACCCCTGACTATTCTCTCAACTCAGCACATTCTTTAATGCAAAGAAAATCAGTAATTTCTTTAAAAACTACAAGTCCTTTTCTATCAGCTGTGCGCCATTGTGGTGTAAATATAGCCTATATCTACCAATTGGATCAAATGTAAAACTCAGCCGAATTACTATTGATACTGCAAGGAGACGTATGAGTGTGAAGAGAAATTGAAGATGTTGTTTAATTGCTGATATATTTATGATCCACGTCACGTATACAGTTTCGGCGGCAGTTCTTCCAGTTTGTCCAAAGGTCTTCTAATCAAGGCTCTATAAATAAAGAACTAAGGCAGATGTGTAATATGTATTGCAGCCGAACCGTGTATTACAATGCCGTTATGTGATGACTTTCAAAGAGAAAAGTAAGCACACTCGGAATAAAGTATTATTATTATTTTTTTTTATGTTTTCGGATTTCACATCGCATAAACACCATATCCCAACCTGCATTGCGGCTAAAACATCCAATCACCGAGCTTCAACGATAGCTGAGGATTATGGGTAGTTCGATGTTTATCAAAACCTCTGAAAAAATAAATGTGTCTCTCAGAATCGAAAGGGAAAAATCTATGGGAAAAACACAAAAGCAGTGTACACAATTGAAACCAATTAATGTTGTGTAATTAACAAGAATGAACTGATGTTTTTTAGTGGATGAGTACGGCAGATATAGCTTTAAAATAATTTGACAGTGAGGGGAATATGGTTTAATTATGAAAACTTCAAGACCGGAAATACTGTTTTCACCCTGTGAGGGTTGACGCTAACTTTACATGGACGCTGCCGTTACACGTTCTCCTGGCGAGACCTCAAATCATCTTCAAACTATAGATCCACACATCCACTGGACGTGGATTCTAAAAGTACAATATACACTTCTCGCTAGAAATCTAATCAAAAATAATTTGAATGGCCAAACTATTCTACAATTTAGGATTTTCCAGAGAGGGTTATTTGTGAATATACGACCCTCCGGAGCGTTTGCAGTCAACAGGAACACTAGAGGTCGAAAACTTTAAAACATGATTATAGGTCGTAATAAGCGCTTGAACAATCAACCTATTTGGTCGTAATAAGGGCTTGAACACGACCTACTTGGTCGTATGAGTTGGAGGACTTGTTGCGTTGTTCATGGTGTTTGCCAAGAGAGTTGGTTATGGGCACATGATGTAAAGAAACAGAAGTAGAAACAAAATATGATTACTATATAATATCAACATTTGTTTTCACAGGTCCATCTAGATGTTAAATATGCTTCAGACCCAGAGATCACACTCCCTATAGTGATCCTACCTGCCTCTGAGGATAATCCTAAACAACAACAACCTTCTGATGCTGGCTTTGGGTTTGATGGATTTGGGAACCCAGAACAAGCCCCCTGGAGCCCGGCACCACACCAACCAGCAGCAGCCGCCAGCGCTATGGATCCCCCACCTCCCTATGCAGCATATGCAATGTACCCCGCTAACCAATACTGGACTGGAAAGTAAATACGGCAACAATTTGGCATTGCTCTTCTATAATATTGTCATGATCGACTGATACGACTGATACACAGTATCAACATTACATACAGAAGAATGAATGATGTTGTCTTTGTTTACCACAGATAGGCTACTACCTTTATTATTGGCTCAAGCATCATACCTTTGGATTATTTGTCAGTTTCCATTCATGTTGATGCCACATTTTGTGTGTATATGTTATTGTGATTTGTTTGTGAATTGATCATAATTTGAGTGTTATGTAAATACTGAACATACAGTACAACAACTTTGGACAGTCTTCAATCAGACGGGAAATTCAACATGATTCATAAAATGTTATCTCACAAATGTATTTGTTTATTTGTATTTGTGTATTTAAATGGTCTACAAAGTTCACGCCAGAGGGATTTTCTCTCACACACACGACCCCCCCACCCCCCCTGCCTGAAACGCCTTCACTCCTTTGTTTACTTCTGTAACGTGACATCACTATGTAACACTTGCCCTTCTATTGGCTAGTGCTCCAACACATTGTAAGCAAGGGGCGGGGGCGGGACATCTCTGAGCGGTTGACTAATCACAACAGAGCCGGACAGCTAACCAATCAGAGCAGACTGGGCTCGGGTTTCAGACAGAGGGTGAAAAGAGGTGCTGCAGCACAGGCAGTATGAGAAAAATAAAGACTGAAAACATGTCACAGTAGAGTCTCAAAATACAAATATGAACCTCAAAATAAGCATAATATGTCCTCTTTAATTTCATCTTTATTAATTTGGCCAACTTTAGGCTCCAAGTCTGGTGGCTAGAGTTACCTGTGTGAAAGTGACACCTGCAGCTCTTGATCACGTGATCTGACACAGATACAGCTTCAGGAGATCCACTGCTACAGTGCGTACACCAGGTGATCCTTATTCATCAACAACAGGCCTCACTTCAATTCAGACCTGCTTCCAGTGCATTCACAGGAGTCATTTTGTTCAAAAAGGAGGATCGTTGTCGTACTTTAACACCATTACTTTTGGGATGATTATTTGATGCAGCCCTATCATGACTGTAAAGCAACTCTCGGTGGATTACAAAAAAGTGAATGAACGAGGCACCTTCTCTCCCGGGGACATCCTCTCTGGCAGGGTGACGGTTGAGACCAGCAAGGAAACCAAAGTGCAGAGCTTATTGGTCAAAGCCAAAGGAAAAGCTAAGGTGACATGGCAGGACCAAGAAGGACAAGTCACAGGGACGCACAGCGACAAGAAAAAATACTTTTATTTTGAACATATTATTCTTCAGGATAAAAACAAAGGAGATGGTTAGTATGTTCTCTCTATTGGGAAAAATTGAGAAAATACCTTTTGAATTTATGTATACTGTCTGTTAGAGTCTGTTAAACAATTAATGCATTTGCATCTTAAAAACCTTCTTTTTTTTTTAAGGTTCAGAAATCATCCGCCATGGGAGAAATGTCTATCCATTCACCTTTGTGATTCCAAATATGTGGGTGTGCTAATTTAAGCTAACACTTTGCATGGAATATTTATATCTATAGTAAAAACGTTGTACCAGCTGGTTAAATAAATGTTCTCCTATAATATGTATTTGGATGTTTTCCCTTACAGAGATATGCCTTCATCTTACAAGGGGAAATGGGGCACCATTACATACAGTTTGCGAGCAAAGCTGACTCAGTCCATCTGGCTTGTCTACAAAACTAAGACTGAGGTCCCTTTTCTGACCAAGTCTGAGTTTCCCTTTGCCTCCAAATCAGATATGATAATCATCGGACTAAAGGTTTGGAATTGCTTTTCATTTGACTTCAGGTTTTCTGTCAGTTCCTATTTAAGTTTACGATTCATTTCCTGACAGAGTATGTGCTTCCTTTGTAGGAACAACAATATGCAACCAGGATATCATTTTATGGCTCCTCAAAGGTTACTGTGAATGTAACTTCAGAACAAATGGGAGTAAAGCAAGGTAAATAGACTTAAAGAATATATTTGTTGAATGGCCTTTACTAAAATATTAACATGTATTGTTGCTCCCAAATTCAGGTGACGCAATTGGAATCTCTGTAGAGGTACTCAATGACTCTGCACGTGCGGTAACACCCAAATTCTACCTGAGTGAAAAGCAAACCTTTGTTGCTCAGACAAAGAGAATAGTGCACACAAATGAGGTCCTCTTTACGAAAGGAGACGCTGTTCCAGCGGAAAGCACTTTGACTATAACCAAAGTTTTGAGTATCCCTCCACAGCTCCACCCTACCTTCTTCAACTGCTGCCTGATGAAACTCGAGTACAGACTCAAGGTATTTCAATTGTGTCATCTGTAAAATAAAAAACCCTCTACTTGGATTTACAGTGGTTCTAAATACACATCTGCTAAGAAAAGGCATAATGTCAATAGCACCACACAGTGGAATGAATGAGGGGGAGTCAGTCACACACTGATGATGGGTACATGCTGTATAGGACGCAGTGTCATCTTTCCTGTTCTGTCCTTCTATCAGCTTTAAATGTTTAGGTATTTAGAATAAACTTTAATGTTGTGACCGAGATCTAGAGCAAGAAATGCCCACTGCGCAATGAAAAGAAGGGAAGAAGATACAGTACAGAGACAAATTAAAGTAATTAAAAGTAATTTTCTGGTTGCAGGTCACTCTTGACATCCCTCTGGCAAGAGACTCAGAGATCAAACTTCCTCTGGTCATTCTGTTGGGCTCCCCAAAACCACATCAACAAAAACCAAAGAGATCCATCTGGTTCAGGAAGCTTCCTGGTTAAACATGTGCATACGATCACGAGCCAGTTGTCAGTATGCTGGATGACAAGGAGAAACAGGACTTAACACAACAACACACAACAACTATTTAAAATAGCTGCTTTTACATGAGTTTAAATTATACCTCACGTACCTGAGAATTCCCTGTATGTTCTCTTGTCCACTAGATGGAGATGTGTGTCACTAACCAGTAGTGTTTGATTTGTTGGAGTATACTTAAATCGGTACCACTTTACAATAAGATACCCTTATAAAGGGTTTACAAATAGTTTGTAATTCATTTATTAATTAGGTTGTGAACACTTTATACATCATTAATAAGCTTTTATAAGACATGAGATAAACAGGGCAACTGTGACCGGTTGCTTGCCAAATACTGAGCCCACATTTATCTGTACTGCCGTATTAGAAATGGTAGTAACTCATTAATAAAGGGGAATGTGTTTTACACTTTACAATAAGGCTCCCTTTTGGCAGTTATAAATGTTAGTAACTCATAAATAAATGGCCATAAAGACATGCCAAGAAACATCAAGATGGATGGGGGGAGAATCAACTCAGTGAACAACAGATACCAAGGCTGATGGCTGATGAAGAAGATGAAGTAAGCTAGGTAGCCAATATAAGGCTTAGTCAACTTGCCAAATAGTGAGCCTGTGTTGACGTATGAAAACTATGTTAGAACTGGTTTATAAATGATTCTTAATGATTAATAAAGTTTTAAAACCTAATTCATAACCTAATTATAAATCCTTTATGAATCCTTAATAAGGGTATAGTCTTATTGTAAAGTGGTATCCTTAAATCAAATAATCCTTTACTTTGCTAAATCCTAAGAACTGCTAAAGGATTTGATTTGTAGATTTGATTTGTTTTTGATCTGTATTTTTGAAAATGATGTAACTTTTCTGTTTGTATATTTTTTTAGCATATTGTTTATTATATTATAACTTAGTACTTTTTTAGCATATTGTTGTTGTTTGTTTATTATATTATAACTTAGTACTTTTTTTAACGCATGTAAGATATGCAACATTGTGGCTCTTTCCTGCTGGAGCTGCAAATTTCCCCTCTGTGGGACTAATAAAGGTATTCTGATTCTGATTCTGATTACGATAAAGTTCAATACTACAATGTCGAAACATTCAAGTCTCTCCAGTGTAACCTTAAAATCTGTTTTTAAATTAAGTCAAATATTCTTTTCTGAAGTATGTAGTAACAGCTACTGCCAAATTAGAATATATAAAGATGCATCAAAGGAAAATCTAGTAAACATAATGAATTAGTAGAAACATCACCTGAGTAAATGTACTCAGTCACTATCCATCACGTGTGTGTGAGGCAGTAATTCATTTGACCGATATGAAGGATTAACACATAAGAAGCCAATTGTTTTATTCTCACAATGACTGTTGGGAATATTCATCCCAGTACCGGGACAAACAATGACTAAGTAAGATCTCAGAATTAGTTGGTAGGGGTTTCTCACGCTCATCCATTCTAGCAACAGAGGAAAGTATCGAACAAAGGAACATTCATGATTCTAACAGTACATGTGTTACCAAACCAGCCTTTAAGTGAAACCAGGCCCATGTTCTCATCAGAGCCTCAGACATCTCTCCCTGCCCAGGAGGGAAACATGTTGAGAGCTGAGCATTTTATGGTTGGGATCCATCCTGAAAACATTACATCTGGCTATTGTGGCACCGCACTGCGCACTGCGCACACGCACACAAACCTACCCAGGGAGAGCACATTACGTCTTTACAATCTCACATTAAACCCACAAAACAGAGAAGACAATTGAAACTGTTCTACCCACAAAATCAATAATCAAAAAAATCATACGAGTGATCAACAAACAAGCTTCAGATCTCATGGTTCTGGTGTACATGTCCTCTGCTGTGACGGAATTGAAAAATGATGCTGCAGCTGACTTGTCATCTTGTGTTACTTGAGCCTGTTAAATTGTATTGTAATATTTGAGTGGAAACACATTAAATGTCATTCAAATACTATGTCAAACTGTTTTTAATGTATCACTTATTGTAAGTAGCTGTAATAACTTTGATCGTATAATGACTGTGGGTAGAGGAGAGCTGACAGCCATTGACAGCAAATGTTGGAACAATGGGGTCTAAATGCTGTATTTTGAATATAAATTGTCCGCGAGGCTTTACAGAGTGCCAACGCAGTGCAGATTTAGCTAATCCTGCCTCCTACACCTGCGTAGAGAACTCTGCAAGGCAGCAGGATGGTTCATGTTCTTCATTATAAGAATATCAACTTTTATGGTGGTGGGGTATAATGCAGTGTGAATCCCACACCTGCATGAAGACATCTCCAGAGCAGCATCTTTGTGTCATTTTCTTCTTTTTTTGGAGGCAGTTGTGTTGTTGGCCGTGCTGTAGCAGAGCCTGCCTGGTAACTAGTCTGGCTCCGTGTACAGTGTGCAGGCCGTCAGCCAGCCAGCTCTCTCCCTTTCACACGTACACACACATAGACACAGGCGCACGCACACGCACACACGCACACACGCACACACACACACACACACACACACACACACACAC